TTATTATTATTATTATTATTATTATTATTAACTGGAGAGAGATGTTCTCCTAGCGAGAGCTGTGCAAGAAACAGCACCCTAGGGTGGGAAGGGCCCACATGGCCTTTCTTCTGGATGTTGCCACCCTGGGTTGCCAACCTCCAGGTGGGTATGCACACGTATACAGCACTGTGTACAGTAGATGTATGTTCCAGGTAAATCAGTGTTGTGCTTTTTTATTTTAATTTTTTTAATTTTTCCATACTGTTATATAAATATTGGTATCAAATATGATCAAAAACAGGTTCCACCCAACCAAAGCATCAGAGTGCAGGTTTACCTTCTGTTCAAATATTCAGACGGCGGCTTGTCAGCATCACAATCACCAGTCCTACGGGACTCTAATTTACCCGCTTCAAATACAGTCTTTTTCAAGGACTGTGATGTATATAAAGGACATGAGGCGCAATAATTTCTCTTTGTGAGCAATGTTCCCTCTAAGCTGTGGAGTCTTGTGAGCAAAAATTCTACTTTGTGAGCTATTGGCATTAAAGGTGAGAGCAAGCCATTTGGCTACTGCATGAATCAGTTTGCTCCGGAGCCCTCCCTTCCTGAGCTGAGACAAAAACATGTGAGCCGGAGGCTAAAAAACTGTGAGCTAGCTCACACTAACTCAGCTTAGAGGGAACACTGTGAGTACAAAAACTCTTAACAAAGCAGCATAAGATAGAACTTGGAAGATATGTTCTCCTAGATGGGTTATTACGTTTGCCGCAAGGGTTCCGATGGGACACTGGAAAATATGCTGCTATCTTAAAGAGTTTTATACTCGCAAAGAGAAATGATTGCACCTTATGTCCTGTATGTACATCACGGTCCTTGAAAAAGATTGTATTCCATAAGGGTAAATTACTAGAGACCCCTGGGACTAGTGATTGTGAAACTGACAAGGTGCTATTTGGAAGTTTTGAATGTAGTGTAAACCTGCAATTTGATGTATTGCTTGGGTGAAACCTATGTTTGGTAATTCTTGACACCAATATTTATATAACAGCATAGAAAAGTTTAAAAAATAAAAATAAAAAGCACAAAATAGATCTACCTTAAGCATACCTTAAGAGAGCCAGTTTGGAGTAGTGGTTAAGTGTGCGGACTCTAATCTGGGAGAACCGGGTTTGATTCCCCACTCCTCCACTTTCACCTGCTGATGTGACCTTGGGTCAGTCACAAGCTCTGGCACAGCTGTTCCTGAAAGAGCAGTTTGTGTCAGCGTTCTCTCAGCCCCACCCACCTCACAGGGTGTCTGTCGTGGGGAGGGGAAGGGAAAGGAGTTTGTCAGCCGCTCTGAGACTCCTTTGGGGAGTGAAGGGCGGGGTATAAAACCAATCTCTTCTTCTTCTTCTTCTTCTTCTTCTTCTTCTTCTTCTTCTTCTTCTTCTTCTTCTTCTTCATATTCAATCAACTTTATTGTTACAGTCAATGACCAGTGCAGAGGAGGGAGAGCTTGTACCTGAAGGTGGGGCAGGGGGGGGGAGCCTCTGCAACTTACCTGGCTGCTTCTTGCTCCTCGTGGCCTGACTGAGGACTGCTTGGAGCAGGGGGTGGGGCTTGTTGCATGTGGCCGCCCCCTGGACTCCTTACTGCCAGTGCTCCGCTCCTGTGCGCTCCCGCAGAAAATGACCCCTGCTAAAACTTTGTTGGTCTTAAAGGTGCCCCCGGACTCAAAACTTTGCTCAAAAAATAATAATTCTCATCCTGGGGAAGGTCACAATGCCTACAGATAAAAGTCTTCCAGCCAGAGTGAAGAATGTGTGTGTGTCCCCCCCCCCCATGTCAATGGGAGGCGGGCCCCCAAATCCCTGGCTTTTGTCTTGAGTCCGCCTCCATCTGCGGGCGGGCATCTCGTCATGCTCCCTCTCCAACTGGCTCCTCCTTTTCTCCCCCCCCCCCTGCAGTACGCGACTGGCCATGCTGAGCAACAACCTGATGCACTGGAAGAAGCTGCCTCCCCTCCCGTCGCTCACCAGCCAGCCCCACCAAGTGCTCGCCAGTGACCCCGTGCCCTTCGCAGACCTGCAGCAGGTGGGTGTGGAGGCAGGCCGTGAGTGTGTGTGTGAGGCTCTCTCTCTCTCGTGCCCCCTGAGCCAGCCCTTCGTGTGTCTCGTGCGAAGGGAAGAGCTTATGCGTCAAAACTCAAAAAACAGGGAGCGCTATTTCATGTTCTCCCAAGTAGAGATGCGAAGGACGGAAAAATTCAGGGGGGGGGGACGGTTTTCCCTCAAAAAATTAGAAAAATTGAAAAAAAGAAAAGGGAAAAAAATGATTATGGAACGTTTTATTTTAACATGATTATTAAAATATTTTAAGACAAGGTATTCAAATATTTTCCAAATCATTTCTAAAAAATACGTATGGTATCAGATTGATCTAATTTCTGTGCACTGAGGACAAGCAAGTCCTAGGTTACCAACTGAACTCTCCAATGCAAGAACAGGATGCATTTCTTCCTTTAGGGGGTGCTACGGTCACAAGAAACGAGAAAGGTTTCAGTTTTGTTTTTGCATGTGGGTGGGTATTCTGTTTGTAATAATTGTTTGGATACACTCTATTTTTAATAGGCTAGTTGTGATAATTTCATGCCAAGTAAAAACGTTCACAGTCATATTTTATGTTCCTAAAGTTAACAGAATGACTTTCAATCTGGAAGAGAAAAAAAGTGCTGATGTAGCATTCCCCCCCCAATGTTTCTGAAAATTTCCGTTCTTTTCAGGAAAAAAACAGGAAAAACGCGGGGGTTTTCCTGAGCTTCAAAATTTCCGGAAATTTCACATCTCTACACCCAAGCTGTTTATTAGGCTGGATGTCACTAAATCCTAGAATCCTAGAGTCGGCAGGATACCACAGAGGTCCTCTAGTCTCTCCCTTGGGAAAAACCTAGTCTTGCATGTGATTGAATACGTTGATTGGGGCTTTTGTGAGCTCCCCAGTAAATCAGTTGCTTCCACTGCTAGGAAATCAATTGCTCCTGTTTATATTTCGAGGTTTAAAAAAACATGCTTTGCCTGTGTCCTTTATAAAGTGTATATCTCTGGTACCCACCCGACAAAGGGTCATTTATGTCAGATCTTGCCCGCCTAATGAATGACTTTGACACCTCTGACCATCCCTGACAAGTGTTTGTCCAGCCGCTGCTCGAAGACTGCCAGGGAGGGGGAGCTCAGCACCCTCCCTAAGGAGGCCGACTCCACGGTGGCACAGCTCTGCCCCTATAGAAGTTTTCCCTAAGATCCCGCCGGAACCTTCCCGCCCTTAATTTAAAGCCATTCTTGCGAGTTTGGAATCCTGCCTAGATTTCCACGGTCACGGAGAGTGGGAGGGTGATTTTTACGGACCCCCTCCCCCCAAGTGAGTGAGTGTGAGCTAGCTCCCAGTTTTTCAGCCTCCGGCTCACCCATTTTTGTCTCTGCTCAGGAAGGAGTTGGGCCTCCGGAGGAACTGGCTGGCCCCTGTGTGAGACAGGAGGCTGGACTGGATGGACCCTCCCTGGTCTGATCCAGCAGGGCTCTTCTGAGGTTCTTATCAGGGGAAGGCCTCGGCCTCTCTGCCCTGTTGTTGGCCCTCCAGAGGAACTGGCTGGCCCCTGTGTGAGACGGGAGGCTGGACTAGAGGGACCCTCCCTGGTCTGACCCAGCAGGGCTCTTCTGAGGTTCTCATCAGGGGAAGGCCTCAGCCTCTTTGCCCTGTTCCTGGCCCTCCAGAGGAACTGGTTGGCCCCTGTGTGAGACAGGATGCAGGACTAGATGGACCCTCTCTGGTCTGACCCAGCAGGGCTCTT